TGTTTAATGTGTAAATTTTTCCTCGGAATTGCTAAGGAAAACGTTGTCTCCCAGCCCTAATTCATGAATAATTTGGGCTAGGAGACAAAGAAAATTGAAAATCAACCAAGGTTAAAAAAATTTTAACCTGAATTTAATTTTGACCTGTAACATACCCGCATCCCCCAAAAGCATTTGTCAAGTGCTGACATGTTCTTCGGCTCTCGACATCTGAGCAAGAGCGCACAAAATTGCTCTAACTTTCATCTGTGGCCAAACTCGTCAAATCCAAGCACTTTTGCGAGATTTATCTTCAATTGTTGGAAGAAATCGCTCCGCTTAGGTAGAAAAAAACCTTCTTCCAAACCGAAAAGTATCCCTGTGTTGTTGTAAAATGTTGAAAATGCTTCGCCATAATTTTGTATAATGTTAAACACTGTCACACAGTCCTGTCAACTTTCATGACCCACACTTACGAGATCTTAATAACTCTTACAAATTAAAGTAGAAGTCCTCTAAGACTATGTGAGTTTACTAGAGGTGAATAACAATAAAAACGGTGAAAAAAGAGTTATGTACTATTTTTTTTACTTCACGCAGGGGGGTAGTCAGCTTTTCGATTAGTTGTAGGCCTGGCTGACTTTCATTTCCGGTGAGCCAGTTCAAACCCCGGTAAGTCAAAACAATTAATGAATTATTCCTCAAATAAATTAAAATATTTGTTGTGGCCGAAAGAATTCGAAGTGATCTCGAGATATCTCGAAGTAATTGCGGTTTCACTACGTGAAATAGCCGAAACAAGCCAAAAAGGCGCCAATTTGCATGCCCAATCTTGTTCCGAAACTATTGCAAAAAATATATGGCTAATATTCACAATTCAAGCTACTTTGGGTCGCAGGAGGCGCAATCAGTCAATCAATCAATCAAACTTTATTTATAGAGGGTAACACCTAACAGTTAGACAACTAATAAACTTGTGGCCCTCTTAATTAGTAATATATTACAAGACGAAAGGAATACATAAGACATAAAGATATAAAAGCTAAACCAAAAGACAATTATATATTACTACATAATCTAAAAATTATTATCTAGAAAAGGAGTAAAAATTTTATCCCTAAACTGAGTTAATTTAATTTGTTTATATAAAGCACTCTTTAAAATATTTACAGATGAAGAGGAACGGATCTTAAGCGGAATGTGATTCCAACACTTAGAATTTGTCACAGAGAATCTGCGACCACCCTCCTTCGCTCTATTGTATCTTCTAGGCAATATGTTAAGATTGGCACCTCGTGTATTTCTACTATGCTGGCTGCTGTTTAGTTCTAATAGTTCACTTATGTAATCAGGGTAAGCACCACTAATTCTTTTGTAGGCTATCAAGCATCTTTTAATATCAGACTCAACGTAATATGGCACGCATCCTGAGGTATTAAACAGATCTACGCTACTATGCTGTTTTTGGGCGTCCAGAATAATACGCGCACAGCATTTTTGCAGCTTGAAAATCTTATCAATATTATCTTGGCTGCAACAGCTTATCCAAGTTATGCTATAATATAATATTAATGGCTCGATTAAATTAAAGAATTATAATTAAGTATAGCTCTGATCTTGATAAGTAACCCTTAATTCTATCAAGTATGCCGATACGCTTTAATACCTTTTTTTACATAAACAGTCAATAGCTGTGGTCACACTACAGACTTTTTACCTAGGTAAACACGACTTGTTGATTGTTTACCTAGGGAAACTTGATTTTTTAAGTGTGACCGATTTTTCCCTAGGTAACTTACCTCGGGGAAATTTTATCGTCTGGGTCTTGGATATGTCTCGAAAACAATAGATTTTCCCTTCACAGCTACCCCAAAGCAATAGCTAGGGAAAAATGAAATATCGAGGCTGCTAGCCAATAGACGCTCATCGGCGAAGGTCTTGGTGTCAGAACCGGAGCACGAGTCGTCTACCTCTTCGCCTTTCTTCACCTTGCACGTTGAATTAGCGTAAGAAATAACAGCGAGATAAAAGAAAAAAACGTCTCTTTGATCGGCTAGATTCCAACGCATTTTGCCCCCTTGAATTTACGCTCCAAAAAATTCAACTGGCGTGAAAACCTTGGGAGCCGATATCAGTAGTGTGACCTTCTCAGAATTTTTCACCTAGGTAAAACAAAACCCGAGATAAATTTACCTAGGCAGAATTTTGATGAATTTGCCCTAGGTAAATCGGTTTTACCTAGGTAAAAGTCTGTAGTGTGACCACAGCTAATATGCATATCAAAACTAAGTTGTTCATCAATAACAAGGCCCAGTAGCTTAACATTTGTGGCCTGTTCTAAATTGCACCCTTTAAGCTGTTTCTCAAGCTTGCGATCTCCGTTATTTAAACGTTTTCCCAGGCGTTTACCATCAACTAGAATCGTCTTGGTTTTAAAACAATTAAGTGGCAGTTTGCTGTTTTGTTGCTCACTCATCGACGTTGGAGACCTCTCGGGAGAGAGTGTTCTCAAGGTCTTCTACATTAGCAAAATCAGAAATCGCTAAAAGAGTGGTGTCAACAGCAAATATGTCGACCTGAGTATGTGCATGTAAGGGTAGATCATTGATAAACATAACAAAAAGCAAGGCACCCAATACGGAACCCTGCGGCACGCCAGCTGTAACGGTCCGAACGGAGGATAACTGACCCATGAATGAAACCAATTGAGTACGATCGGTTAAATATAATTTGAACCAGGGTAGAGCGTTTTTATCAAGATTGAAGGCTTCAAGCTGGCGTAGCAAAGTCACATGATCACCATGTCAAAGGCCTTCTTGTAATTAATAGGAACCATACCGTTAATCTTGTTTTTGTCTAGATTAAATAACAGAGTATCAACTTTATATGCGATCGCCATCTCTTGCTGTGCAGTTTCCTGAACCCAGACTGATTCCTATAGGTAAGATCATGCGCAGTTAGATATTCTGACAGATGGTTATGCACATACTGCCAAATGATTCTTGATAGCACCGGAAGCACGGAAATGGGCCTATAGTTGTTTACATCATCCATATTACCAGCTTTGGAGACTGCAGACACTCTGGCTTGTTTCCAACGACAAGGAAAAGGTTCTGTTGAAAGCGACAGGTTTACAAGCTTTGCTATTGACGGAGCAAGTTCTGTGATGCCTAGGCGCAGAAGAGCACAGCTGATTACATCAATTCCAGTTGCTTTATTGCCTGGAATTTTTGGTAAGTATGCCTTCACCATATCAGCTGTAATTGGAGGTATAGTGAAATGAGCCCCAGAAGGTAGCCTTTCACTAACAAACAATCGTCTAATCCCTCAACTTATGGTCACATCTGACCTGACGGTCGCAGGTGAGTAGGTTCAAACCCCGGGAAGCCAAAAACAATTATTATTTCTTCTTCGAATAAACTAGAAATACGTGAATCGCAAGACCTCGCGTAGCACTGCGGGGGAACGGCAAGAAGTAGGAAGAAAGGGACATAAGGCAATAGGGAAGAAATTTTATAAATTTAAGAAACTTACTCTATGCAAAGAAACAAAACAAAACTACAATAACTAAATAAAAAAAACAAAAGGAAAGAAAAAAAGACAGAAAAGAAGAGATATAGAAAAAAAAGCTTCCGACGAGATTATAAACTCCGCCATGATTAACAATTATTCACCGAAGTGGAGGTGGCTAGCGGTGGATATTTATTGAAAAAAATAATTCCTTTAGTACATACTAAAACAGTGAGATAATTGAGCACAAACATTATGATTTTTAACTCATTCACTGTTGCTTACAATTTTGGAGCGCAATGAGCGAACGGTCATTGCGTTTTCTTGCCGACAAATAAAACTTTTGCAGGCATTTGCTTAGCTCTTGCTGGGAAATTTCTTCAAAAGGAGCTGTGAATTCTTTTTGTATTTGAAACCATTCAGTAAAATTAAATTTAGTGTTAAGCTTATCTATGAAAATGTCAGCTAAATAAAGTGACGCAAGACTTAATTTCCATGTGTAAACGAAAAACTTTTTCACCGGCTTCATCGACAAATTCAAGTCAAACAGACAAAGCTTTACCTGTTAAAGCTTCTAAACCGGACTTCGCCACCTTCTTCGTGTATTTCGGGAACAGCTTGTTTGATAATTTTTTAAGGCAGAAAACCGGGAAAACATATTGCTCGTAACTTACGCGAGCTTGGCATCGTTCGGTCGGAGGAACTGGAGGTGAATCAGTGAATAGATAACAATTATTCACTGTTGTTGTATAAAAAAAACAACAACAACAACAAAAAAACAATTATTCACTGAAGTGGAGGTGGCTAGCGGTGATGTAACCGTGCCGCGAAGCGGCGATGTCAATATCCACCACTAGCCACCGACACTGAGGTGAATAATTGTTTAAGAAAACTGTGAGATAATTGAGCACAAAAATGATGATTTTTAACAAATTTACTGCTGCCAACGATTACAATTTTGGCGCGCAAATGACCGAACGGCCGTCGCGTTTTCTTGCCGACAAATGAAACTCTTGAAGGCAATTGGTTAGCTATTAGTATTGTAGGAAATTTCTTGAAAAGGAGTTATGAATTCTCTTTGTATTTGAAACCATTCTGTAAACAACTATTAAATTTAGTTTTAAGCTTGTTTATGAACATGTCCGCTAAATAAAGTAACGCAAGACTTAATTTCCATGTGTAAACGAAAAACTTTTTCACCGGTTTCATCGATAAATTCAAGTCAAACAGACAAAGCTTTACCTGTTAAAGCTTCTAAACCGAACTTAGTCACCTTCTTCGTGTATTTCGGGAACAGCTTGTTTGATTATTTCCGAAATTTCTTGGTTTGTTAAGGCAGAAAACCGGGAAGCCACTTTGCTCGTAACTTACGCGAGTTTGGCATCGGTCGCTCGGAGGAGCTGGAGGTGAATCAGTGAATAGCACTGGATATCCCGACTTTGAGTATCCAATCAGAGCGCGAGAAAAACACTATCCACTGTTTTAGTATATACTAAAATAACGTATTTATTGTAGGCGAAAAAGGACTCGAAGTGATCTCGAGATATCTCGAACTAATTCCGTTCTCACTTCGGGACATTAGGAAGCAACTTTGGGACATGCCTGACCGTCGCGAATACTTGGTGCTCCGCCCAAGTAATAAGCCTTTTTTAAAATGCAGTTTGGTGCGACTCTATCTGAGTATTTGGTTCTCTAATTCTGGCTCACATGTTGTGTTCATGACTCGCATATACACTCCCAACTGTCCTCTAACAGATTGAAAATAATTGACAACAATCATCCGCTATTTATAAACCGTAACATTTAAACTACTGCTTTATATGTCACTCCCAGCATCCAACGCTAGAACACCTGAAACTTCAGATTTTGAACCAAAAACAATAGCATTGCTATTAGAGACTGCCAATAACAAAAGGTAACAAAAAATAAAAACAATCCTCCGTAATCAGGTTATAGGGTTACAACAGTTCTTGGTATGCGGACATAGTTCCATTCACCTTTGGAGTTGATCAGCTGACCTTCCTCAATCTAATTAATAAGAACTGACTCTGTGACCTGTCTTAACAGATAGCATAATCACGAAGTGTTCCCGTTACATTCATTACAAACTCCGGAACGTTTCCCTCTTGCCTTTCGTAGGAGTGCCTCCGCATCACCGAACTTTCCTCCTGTCTTTCCAGAGCATTAAGGTATTCACCCATTCAGCATTCAAGAGAACATTATTTCCAATATCGTGTGGCGTACAACTGAAAAGGTCATAAGACGATTATAGTTTTGTAAAATCGCCTAGATAAAATAGTGTGTTGAAAGTGGATCTCCATTAGATTTTTCTTTTCTCTGTTGACATAATGTTCAGTAACACTTTCTTGGCTTCAAGGAAAAAATTCTCGCAGATGTTGACTCTCCAAACTTTTAAAGCCAAATGCTCGAAATAAAACAAATTATGCGGGAAAATATAACAGAAAATGAACTGCGGCAAGTGAAAATGCAGCTTATGATCTTTGGTCACCTATGAATGTGGCTCAAGCTCAAGGTCTGGATTCGTATAACCAAAGGAACCATCACATCCAATACTATCTGGGAACCATACACAGAGCAGAACCATAATGATATTATTACTACCTTCACATAGTCTGAAGGGGGAAACAGCAACATTCTTCCTATGCAGTGCAGTTAAACAAAGTGGGCTCAGGCATTTTGCAATTCGCAATCAACGTGCTAAGACTTGGGCAAGGATGTTGGTGATAAATTAAGATGTACCAGACAGCATACCAGAGTGAAACGGAAGAATCTTTGAATCCCCAGGTGTTCCAGGAAATGTTCACATCCTGGAGATCAACAAAATGTGGTCAAGTGCGTACTACCCAGAGGCAAGGACAGACTGAGAATCTCCACAAGACCTTAGAGAAGACCTTAATGAAGGCTAGAGTTGATGAAAATCAACCGAGTCAGGAAGACGAGTGCCCACTCCTCCATGGGGGTCCACCTTTTTTGAGCTTATATTTGGAAAGGGAAAAGCGGCTGCCCATGGAAGAGTTGTGATGATGGTCCGAGCCGAAGACAACGAAAGTAACAACTACTTAGTTTGTCAGTGATTTTCGAGATAGGCTAGAAACTTCACAATGTGATGTGAGGCAAAGTCTGAGTATAACAAGGGCATAACGCATATGATGTTCTACAATAGTGAGAGAGAGCAAACCCAGGAGAGGCAAACAAATTTCAAAGACAGAGGGAGGGACCAGCTAAAGGAGAGATTATCTGGGTTGCAGTTCGAGTTGACAAGGTTGTTGATGCGCCAGGCGAGGATAAGTATCAGCCCTAACTCGCTCCTTAACTTGTACACGGGGTGGACACGATCAAAACAGTTCAGTTTAAAAGACTTCAGAAACAGTCTGAACCTTTTCCTGTGTTAAGTTTATTACATAACTATAACTACACCAACGCAATTCTCCAATTTGACCACACTAACATCTGTCAGCTTTAAATCATGTTCCTAATGGTTAATTTAATGCAGAACTTTAGTTTTGATTTATATAGTTATTGCTTAACCTATTCCACATACTGGTAGAACATTCAGTATAATGGAGATTTAAGTTTTCAACAAAGAAACTTTTGTTAAAACTGTTTCTTACCTGCCAGTTATCAGTTTTTAGTTTCTTGATTTGTTCCCAAAGACAGTCCAAGTACTGTTAAAAGGTACAAGATGTTTTCAGATTAATTAAACTATCGGAAATCAAAGACAGAGCTGCACTTTGTAGATTTCAAGTTTTGTAAAATGACGTTATGGTATTCCAGAAAAAAATTGTGATGTAGTGCAACTAAAAGTTACATACGTTATACATTTTTACGGTTTTCTGCAAACCCAAATTTTGAATATTTGCCTTTTGTACATTTACGAGGTTGGCTGATTATAAACTGACAGTTAACTTATTATTAGCAGCAGTTAATGCAAGCTTTCAGCTAGGCCACAGTGGACCATTCCACTTTTTTCAACTTACTTTTCACGTGATCCAGTTGGTAAATATCAATCAACACTGCTGGAATGTAGCTTAAATATACCCTTAAGATGAGCGAACTTTTCAAGATTGAGGGTGAAATGTCAGAAATGGGCAAAGGAATGCCGGTCTCCGCAAAATGTCAAAATTTTACTGACATTTGCATTAGCCATTGCGTGGCTTTATCTTTATTTCCGTAGTTTTCAACAAATCACTCTCAAACTTGGAAACCTTCTGATTTAAGGCATTCTATCCTGACCAGCAGAGTTGATGGATATTCACTGGTCCAGGTAAAAAGTTGAAAACAAAAAACCGTGGAAACCATGAGTTACAACAAAATCCCTTGTAATATCAAACAGACAAGTGAAGTGCATTATTATAACAAGGAAAGAAGTGTATCATGTTCAGAATCTGTTAAGTTTAAACTAACCTCCTCTTGTGGGTGAGGTTCATCAGTCGACCATACACGCAAAGCAGGAACATGAGTCTTGCATCTCTGACTATTTACAAGCAACAGAGAGTTAACAGCGACATCATTTTTTGTTTGAATACCAAACTCAAGCAGCAATTGCAGCTACTAAAAGTACATGTCAAGAACTTAGAGGAGGAATAGGAGACAATTGCACATGGGTTGGTGATTACAGCTTCCTAAACCAACTATATGTACTACTATTCCTGGGGTTTCACAAAGGTTACATTTTTGCGATCAAGCACGAACTCCACACAAAATAAAAAAAAAATTGGCAAGACCGAAATTCAGTTCCTGCTTAGGACTGGATGTTCTTGGAGGAAAAAGGCATTATCTCTTGCAAGCTCGTGCTAAATAATGGTCACGTTTTAGATCAACGATGGCGTAAGCTGCCTACCAATCACACAATCACAAAGCCAAGAATGTTCTAGTTTTTTTTGGAAGAAAAATGTTTAGTTGGCTTGCATTGCAATGGTCACAAAATCAATGCTTCGTCCTGATTGGCTGAGCTACTACTAGGTTATATGTAGCGAAAAGAGCCGGCTTTTGGTGGCAAAAATATATATATTTTTGACCAACTAGTTAGATTTTACTAAAACAATTATTCATCTTGCCCTCATGGCCTCTGAGTCAACAGCCCATTCGGCCTTTGGCCTCATGGGCTATTGACTCAGAGCCCACTCGGGCTCGAGGAATAATCGTTAAATAAAACAGTAGTTTCAATAACTTCTCTGCAGTGCAAGGAAGAGTGCTTGGTGAGTTGTGGAATGTTCCTAAATAATGCACCTATCAGTGTAAAGCCGGCAAGGGGAAGGGGGCATGGGGTGGGGCTTTGACATTTTTCAAAAATTTGCCGTCAAATTCACTGCCCACGGGCAAATCATTCCCGTCAAATGTAACCAAATTTTCCCACCCCGGGCTGCACATTGCTATCAAGTATCCCAAGGCAGAACCCAAAAAAGCTGCATCACCAAAGATACATGTTCCTGTTACAGCTGCAATTATACGTTTTAACCATAATCCGTGTTACACTGCGTAGAATACAGAAACCTTTCAGGAGAAAGTCCACATTTTGTAAGTTCAAACATATCATTCTTAGTAAAGGGTACAAAGAAAGTCAGTTTTACAAGCTTTATACAATGATTGTAGCGAATGAGCCATACACTGATCATTTGTACTGGCAAGAATCGACTTGGTTTCTCTTTACTTCCGTTTACTTTGATACCACAGTATGTTGAGAGGTTCAATTGATCAAAAACACGCTAAAACAAACGAATTTTGAGGACAAAACAGTGGAATCCACTCAGCTTTCGCTTGTTCTCGTTGGCCTCCGTGATTTCCAGATCTTTCCAGACCGTACGGCGCATGCGTGAAGCGTGGAAGCGGGAATGATATGTTCGGTCTCAGTCGTTTTCGTCCGAGTTGGCAGTCAAATATCTCCACGTCGGGCGAAGAAAGATTCAAATATCCCCTCCCCAGGGAGAACAAGATCAGTCAAATGCCCAACCCCAGGGCCAACAAAGACAATCAAATCCCCACCCCATGTCCTGACTCTCCTCCCCGCCGGCATGACATTGATAGGTGCATAAGATGATTTATTTGACACCAATTATTTAATCAGAATGCAAAAACAGTTACAGTGTACCTTCCTTACTGGAATTTAGGTCTAGTGGACCTTAGTCTTCAATGTTCAATCCTTGATTTCTTGCAGCCTTGTTCATTGTCTTTAATTTTACTCTTTTTTGATCAGATGTAGCCAAAAAAGGCTATGTAAAAAGCGTGATAAGTAGTGAGAGAGGGATGAAATTAAGCCCCGTTGGTGTCGAGTAAGGTCGAGGTAAATCATTGATATGCATAAGGGTTGAGTCCATGACATCACCCATTGTTTTAAGCTAGGGAAAAGTGGGTTCCTCTATACTGATAAGTGTCTTCCTCTAAATCTAATGAGCGTCTCTCTTACAAAATAGGAACAATAGGCTTGCCTAAACTTGCCCGGTCTCTTTTAACCCTGATTGGCTCGTGTAGAATCAATTATATTTTCAAAATAAAAGTGGGTAGATTTCGAAAGCGTTATCTTTCTTGCAATTCTTTGCTAAAAAAAAGTCTTGCTATCACCAATATTTCTTAAAACAATGTTCCAAACATGCAAGTCGAATCGAGCACTACACCTCTGTAACGATTGATGAAGTAGAAAAGCCAGTTTTATCAGTTATGTGTTCCAACTGACTTATGTGACTTTGATTGACAAAGTCATTCAATAAGCAAAACTGAATTGCTGCCACGGCTGTGCTATTCAACACCCACATCAAAACCAACATTCTTGCCTCATGATGGATAATGATGATGCTTGGATGTATTACAACAATCAAGTGGTGGAAAAAAATTGACCTGAAGTGCTCTTGGCTTTAAGCTAGGTAAATTACGGGAAGCGCACATTACCGAGCTCGCAAAAATGCCATGGGCCAGTATTTACCTCACTGCTCTGGAACTTGGTTGTCCAGGGTGACGATCTGCAAAGCCGTATTTTATACGCTCTATACTACGGACCAAATGGGCTCAAATGGAAGGATTTCGGTGATCAACAAGAAGAAACAGAATGCCCTGAAATAGTTGTGAGAAAAAAGGAAGAACCAATGGACCTTGACTCGATAATTAATGACATTCAAACTAAGCTTTGTTTCTAAAAGTAATATAATTTGTTTATGACTAAATTTTGAGTCAGTGTGTGTTTGTCTCTGTCTTAGTCAAGATGAGGCTTTCTCTGTCTTTGTTTCAAGTCGAGTTTTCTCTTTATTGCGCACAAGCCAAAGCATTGAAAGTGTCTTTAGTGAAATGTACTAACTGAAAAATCTTCAATCATTAAATCATTATCACTAAAAATCGGTTACAGACAAAACAAAGACACAGAAGTCAACTGAAAAATCTTTATTACGGTCTAGATTAACCATTAACAAAATTGTTCTCTCTACGTGTGTTCTCAACAAATAATCCATCTGTGTCAACAGAATATCCCTATGGCCTCTACTGACGTCAACAGTTCGACTTGCTTTGTTTCTTGCGGTTGGGCTTGTTCTTTGTAGTTGTTCTTTTAGCTTTAGCTTTAAAAGACGCTTCATTTCTTCGTGATCTTGACAGTTTGTACACCGTTTCTTGTGTCTGTGCTGGATTGAAAGTAGTAGTACAATGATTTCTTCTTGAATTGTCTGTCTGGATTTGTTAAAACGTGGCTAAAGAAATTTCAAGTGCATTCTAACTATTTGACATCTAAGTGGAATGGGAAGCAGTTAAAAGTCACTAGCTGAAGCTAAACAATGACAGCATTATTGCTGGCAATAGACGGTAAAGTTCTCTCGCAAAAATAACAGGATTTTGCGATGAAATAAACAACATTTGAAACGTCCAGAAATTGTAATCTTTTAGTAAGTCAAACCATGAGGCCCACAGCTCAGTCTCGGCCGAAAACAGATTAAGAATCCACAATCTTTGAGCACAGAATAGGCTTTCTAAGAGAAAATCACCTAAACTAAACACTCACGAAGCGTTTTTATGCTTGGCACAAAGTATTCTGGTAACACGAGCTCAACCGCACATACCTGAGATTTGTCTGTCAACACTTTCGGTAAATCTCACAATAAATGAGTTTTGCGGCAATCACAACACTTCCGAAAACCACTCATAATACTTCCACACTTAACACGGGCGAAAAATCGTCAAATTACTTCTAAAACTCTCGCTTTCTCCACATAAATCGTCACATGGAACTTTTCTCGACTCACTGACAGTCGATTTATTCAAGATCCCCGATGTAAACCAGCGGTTGAAAAGGAGACATACAGCCCCCGCCTTCCACACAATTTTTTACTAAGTCTTTGGCCTGGTCAGAAATCAGCATCAATTTCCATCTTGCCTAATAGATTTCAACCCTAGACCCTACTTTGTGAGGCCAAAGACTTGTTACTGCCAACAACAAAGCTCGCAATGTCTAATCTTTCCGTCTCAAGCCCAGGATCAGTCTTTCACCCGTGTAGCCCGAAATGAGAGGAAATACCAGAAGATATTGGACGCAGCAGACTTTGCCAGACGTGAGAATTGTTCCTTCATAAGGCTTAATGACGCCTTGCGGAAAACTTTGCTCAAGGCAGCCAAAAAAACTCTAAGCCAACCCACTATGAGAACCGAGTTCAGTCTAATAGGCCACTTGCACTAAGAGGTCACGTGACCAATGCTTCCTTTAAACAATGAGTTGGAATCTTGCTGATGCCAAAAATTGTTAGAGCACACAAAAATTATCTTACACCCAAAATTTGAGAGGAAGCGCATTTAAGGGAGATATTCTATGGCACTTTGATTTTTCAGCAAAGTATAATGATTTGTATTGGCCGCCATGTTGGAGGGCATGCTTTTGCCCTCCAACATGGCGGCCAAAGCTACTTCTTGCTCATATCTTGTTCGACGTTTCATATTTACGCTCAGATGTGCTGTAAACGTTATCACATCATCTTTTCAACATTTTCCTTGAAGTTTAAGTGTAAAATTTGTGTTCAGAGAGAGGCAATTCATAATTTTAAAAATCCCATTTTGGTCACGTGATCATATACGAACTTATTCATTTTAAGAAAATGGTTCGGGTTTGAAAAACCAAATCACCATTATTTTGTTTAAGATATGACCCACTAATTGTTTTTCGAAGGCAAAATCATATAACTTTCATTTTCATAAAAACGATGTCACATGACCTCTTAGTGCAAATGGCCTATACGTGCGCTGATTTCAAACTGACAAACAGAGAGAATAATGGGAAGGTATGAAAAACATTTTTTTTGGGGGGGCGGTAATAGGTTAATAGCCAGCGAGAAACTCAGCAAAGTCTATCTAATGTGGCCTATTCGTTACCGATTAAATAAATAAAAAGTAACTATGAAAAAAAAAAGTGCTCCGCTACAAGGCTCAGTCCGAGGGTATATAAAGGGATTTCTGTAGCCATGTTTTTGCAAATCTAGACAGATATATATATGTCTGGATTTGATGAAAGGTACCTCCAGAAATTTCAAGTGCGTTCTAACAATTTGACCCTTGAGGTCAACAAAAAGCACTTGAAAGTCGCCTGTTAGGGCTTAAAACGGACGAATTAATCGCTGGCAACACACGAAAAGTTGCTCCTGGCAAAAGCGACAGATTTTAACGAAATAAACAACATTTAAAAGCACAGAAGTGACCTTTCAGTCTCTTAAACTATGAGGCTCATAGCGAGATGCCCGACTAAAACGGACCTAGAATCCACCTTCTTTGACCCCACAATCGGTTATCTAAGACAAAATCACTTCAACTAAACACTTACAAAGCGTTTTCATGCTTGTACACAATATTCTTATAACACGAGCGCCACGACATACCTGAAATCTGTCTGTCAACAACTTCAGGAAATCACACAATCAACCACGTTCGCGGCACTGATAAAACTATCCGCAACCAACCAGACACAATGTTTCCACACTTAATACGGGCGAAATATCATCACATTACTCTCTCTCAATAACTCTCGCTTTCTCCACATAAATCATCACATGTAAACTTTGCTGACACATTCGATTTATTTAAGATCCCGGATGCAAACGAGCCGTTTTGAAAGGGACACATGGACGCCGGCCTTCAAAACAATTTTTTACTAGGTCTCTGGCCTGGTCAGAAATCAGCATCAATTTTGCTCTCGCCGAATAGTTTTGACTGCTAGAAGCTACTTTTTGAGACCAGAGACTCGTCACCGCCCACATCAAAGCTCGCAATATGATGCCTTTCCGTCTCAAGCCCGAGATCAGTGTTTCACCCGTCTTGCCAAAATGAGACGAAGTACGGTAACATATTGGACGACGGCAGAATTTGCCAATCGTGAGACTTGTTCCTTCATAAGGCTTAATGATGCCTTCCGGAAAACTTTGCTGCAGGCGGCCAAAAAAAAACCTAGAAAATCAGTAACCGACCACGGAAAACAACTTCTACCGCGCGCGCTATATATATATATAACAGTAAATAGACTACTCAATATGAGCACATATGGATTTTAATACAGATCTGTTTCGTTTGTCATCATTGATTGTTTATTGCGACAGTGCTGTTTCGTATGGTCCGAAATTGTAGGACCACACTCATCAGGCAACTTCGACGATTGACCGTTAAAATTAAAAGCTGGCAGTAAAATATAGGGATGCATTAAGAGATAGTATCTAGGTAACAGATGGATTGTGTCTTAGTTACGTTACTCTAGAGTTCTGAAGTACATATCTGTTTCTGTGGGGGCATGAACTCGCTAGTTCGTTTCGCCTGTTTAGGCTACAAAGCTCTTTTTTACAAATGATGATGAACTTTTCATAAAGACAAAGATTACATTTTTTGCTAATGAGGAATGCAAAGAACAATGTGAAAGCTGGGAAGAACGCTATAAAAGTCTTGAACAACAACAACAACTCCATCCAGATTAGAAAAAAGAAGGTCAAGAAATTGTTCACTGATGGCAGCCTTTCGAGTTTAATGCGATTTGCTCATGATGTTAAGGGAAAATGAAGAGGTACTGGAAAATACGTGACATCAACTGCGTCAGAAAGAAAAGGAGTGTGATGAATTAGAAGATAAATGTTTAGCTCTTTGACTGGACAACGATAGCATTTGTTACAAAACGCTCTGTCAAGGATTGTTGTCCTTACTAGGACAGCAAGAAATCAGTAGACACCGTAGAAGGACACAATTGTCCCAGTTGAATAGGTGTGGCAGGGCCGTCTAGAGAATTTTGCCAAAGGTACATAGACTGAAGATGAAGTAAGGAAGAGAAAGGATTACGAAACTAGGCCTTTTTGGCCTTGGTTTGGTAAGTGTGGGTCAATGTGGGTCGATGTAGGGTCGATGTGGGTTCCATGTGGGGTGAATGTGGGGTGTATGTGGGGTCAAAGTGGGCTCGATGTGAAGAGGGTTGATGTAGGGTTATTACGAAGGAGAACGCTTAGTAACCCTGGCTTCACCAATATTCTATAAAAGAGTTGCATTACTTTCTGACGTTTAGTTTAGTATCAGAACGCGTGCAGTTGAAACTAAAAAATGTGGAACAGTAACCACCATTACAACCTTCTTCAACGAGGTGCTGGAAATTATGACGACAGTGAAGTAAGCAATTTCTAGAAAGCGAAGTCTCTCAAGCTAGCCGCGGAACGGAGTCTTCCCAAGAAGAAACAGAACACTTAGGGCCTTGGTCATACATTTTTGAGAAACACCACGAGACCCAGATCAACACTTTGATCAATCAATACGAAGAGAATGGAGATGCAGAAAACGTGGCTGGTATTAAAGCCCAGAACGCTCTTCCTGTTTACAGAAAATAGCTGAGAAAAGTACTCTTAGAGTGTATCTACAGTGGATGCGTGCAATGAAGAAAGGCCCTTCTGAAAAGTGATGGAAACCCAAAAAGAGCTTAAAGATACAAAAGGATTTGATTGGCTAGAATAGACAGAATTTGTGATCAATAAGCGAAAATTCTTACTCAATTGTATGAAAAGCAGCCCATTCCACAAGATCAAGACTAGAACTACTACCTTTGTATTCAGTGTTGCGTTTCATTAAAAACTGTAAACAACCAAACTTTAAGTGTGTTTATTTTTTATTGATTACTTCACAATCTTTACAACCATTTTCTATACAGGATGGTACGGGAAATTTATTATTCAAAACACGACTTGTTTCATTGATTTAGAACAAACCGGAAGACCTGGGATTCCTTATATTGTTAAGCATGTTGATGCATTTTGATGCATCTTGCATAAAAAGCTCTAGAAAAAGACGGTAACTTTTTATCGTTTTCAATCTCTTCACATTCTTCAGGGGAGATAACATAACAGTGAAAAGGTATGTGTTTGAATTCAATGTGTCTTTCATACAAAGCCTTTAACACTCGGTAACTTTCGGGGAAATGACCGCAGTCCCTTGCGTACTTCTAACACGCCTGACATAGCAAGTCGTTTTTCTCTAGACTAAGTGTAGTATCTGGATGATCTGGAGAGTCTTCTTTCATTCTTTGGACATACAACTTGTACGATCCCACACTTCGGGCATCTATTCTCTGTATCTAAACCCGTGAAATATATTAGGACCTCCTAGACTGTTAAAACCATTGTCACACATTAAAAATCCTTTCTCATCTTTGTGGGTATGGTGCTGGTGTTGGATAAATGCTTTCTGTTTATCCTCTTAGCGTCGTTTTTCAAACATCTCCTTTATTCTTCCATAAAGACGAAATCTTGCGACCTGTGGCTGAAGCAAATACGAGAGCCGCTTCTTGATACCAGGCGATATTGGCTGGTCTATCCACATGAAAAAGTTACACTCCTTTTTGTACTATGTCAGAAACATACGATCCCTGCGCCCAGGCTGTTAACTTTTTCTTAGTGCAGGTTTGTTAAAACAATTACAGAACAACTAAGCTGCATAATTATTGTTTCTTATCAGAGTGGGTATGATGCGCGATCCACTCTATGTCCTCTTTCTATTCTGAAGCAGGGGCAAACATAAAGCAAAATTTCTCAGGGCAGTGCACATGGCAAAATTCGTTTACTCTTTCTACCAATTCCAATGTTGAGAGGGGATGAAACAGGCAGAACTGGCAGGTAAGAAACTCGCTTTATCTTGTGTCAACAGAGGTGTAGCACTCAGTTCGACTTGCATGTTTGGAGCAATGTTTTAAAAATATTGGTGATAGTAAGACTTTTTTTCTTAGAAAAGAGATTGCAAGAATAAAATGCTGAATGGAGAGCGTGCTTTTATAGGGTTAAAAGACACCGGGCAAGCCTAGGCAAGGCTATTGTTACTACTGTATAAGAGAGACGCTCATTAGATTTGAAGAAAGACACTTATTATTTGGGCGTGGCCCAAATAGAGTAATGGAAAAGGCTTGTTTTGACGCAGATGTGCAATAGGCACGCAATACGTGCTAACGTATACAAGGCAAGTAAACAAGCGCAGCGAGGCGAATGTCTGCCATGCGAACGTCTTGTACAAGGTAATAGGCATGTGGGAAAGAAAGCTCTGCTAGCACGGCACTTTATCGCACTTTTACAATCTCAAAAGTTAATCTGAATCTTCAGTATTTTTACCTCATCGAACTTTGGACGTCTGAAGTCCGGGGATGAAATCTATCAAAAATATTTGGTATAGTAAGGTCGGGTTTTGGTCACAATACGATCACAAGCAACGAACCTTGAAACACGGAAACTAACAAAACGGATCGAAATCCACCAATCACAAATCACAAACAATGACCTTTTGAACCCGTTGAAGTAAGCTTTCGCTTCCTAAGAGGTCCGCTAAGATGATTGGCGTCTGACATTTTATTGACGAGAGGATCGAAATGCACCAATCATAGAAAGACAGTTTTAATTGCATGTTTCCTAAGAGGTCATCTGAATTTGCTGTTTTCTTTATTTTATGTCCATTTTCTTTTCCTTATTTTGTGATTGGTCGATTTTGTTAGATCGAGTGGATAATCCAGTGAGGGACGATTTGGATATCTTTCGATCCGAGATTTTTCAAAGCAGCAGTAAGAAGCAGTTTGGATAACATTTGGCCGCGGGGTCTCGAGGAACGTGTTGATGTATTGTTGAATTATGTTTTCCCGGGTTAAACTTACAAATGCACACACTGTTTGTGGTAGGCCCACACTAACAAATAACACTGAGTGTTTTCGGAAAGGGCTGGTCCGCGAACTCAAAGAAAAACAAAGGAAATTATCAAGATATTCAACGACATTATAGACTCATGAACCCCATAGACGAAATAACAAATCGGAATATCAGGAGTGTATGTGTAAAATGGATAAGACTTGGATAAGTTTGAGAGTCGCAAGATTTGTGTAGCTGGTTATCAGTGTGACAATAGTGATTTTGATTGTTGCATTGCCGAACACAATGAGCTGCCTGTGATAAAAATCTGTTCCGATGAAGGAAGAGACGATTGTCAACAATTGAAACCAAAAGGGCTTAGGCTTCTTTTGGAACTACTGTGATAACTGTAACAATTATTTTTATTATTTCAATTTTGTTTAGCAGGGTGACGGTTAATGTGCTTGTTTTTGTATTGCGTGTTGTGTTTTTTCGTCTAATTGTGTATATTGTGACGCACTACATGTACGATGCTGCGCGTCGGGATTTTGCATTGTCAGCAAGTTTTGTGTTGGAGCGTTTTGATGGCAGCGAGTTGACGACAAGAGAAGGTAATGAGCTAGTTGTACAGAAGGAAAATTGTGTTGTGGAGGAAATAAAAGAAGTTGAATTGAGATCTCGTCGCGGGAAATTTATTTATGACAGAACTTACAATTACATTGGTTTAAATAAGGTTAGTCATTTTTTTCGACGCGGTCGTGCACCTAACAGACTACCAAGAAAGAAATTAAAATCTTTGTTACAGAAAACACGGAAGGTAAGGCTTTTTGTATGGAAGGGCATGGAAAATACACCATTGTCGTCTGAAATTCATTGTTACATTAAAAATAGAAAAGGTTTACACTTAAACAGGTACAAAAGTAACTGTAACTGTGAGGTTTTTACTTAAAGGGCAACTCCAAAACTAGCTCGTAAACGAGGGAAGGTGTACGTATCTGTCGTGTAAGCATCAAAGCACAGGCGATTTAGGTGGAATGAGATATCCAAACAGGATTTTAAGTAAGAATTTGCCCCTCTGTACATGCAATTATCCATTTTATAGTGCTTAAAACAGTTTGAATCACCATGTTAATTTTGGCCAATTAAAGCTTTGTACTGATATCGAGAAGAATCCAGGACTTTCAGTTTATGTAGATGGTACAAAAACAATTCATGCTCCATACTGTCAAGGAAACGTCACAGTATTTGGCGAAAATGTTGGACAACAATGTGTCGCAATGAGTCTGTGCGCTTAAATTTACAGTAAGTCTAAGATAACAAAGATTACTTCAGTTGATGATATGATTCAAATAATTATTGTTGGCATTCAATTATATTCTAGTCTGTCACTGTTTGCAAGACAATCTATATGTTAATGTTATCAGAATTGCCAGGAATGGTTACAGTGTTTGAGCAATTTTTCTACCTTGAATGCAGTGACAGTTATACTTGTAACATCCATGGTGATCCCAGAATTGAGGGGTATCACTACTGTATATGCCAGCACTCACAGGGTACAGCAGTTGAAACACTCTTGGCACTGACCTACAACTCCTTCATTTTAACGGTAGCAATTATTGGTGTTGGTATCTACAGCATTGAGGCTGGGGGATATAATGTATTTGATTCTCATGCTAGAGATATGTATCATAACAGTCATAGTGAAGAGACATGTGCATTGTTGGAAATACCATCCATGCATAAATTAGTATATTTTCAGACTCTACATAGGATATCTATGAACTTAAAGGTGAACATATTGCCACCTTTGAAGCTCATCTTTTCTCAAGCAATGTTGAACATTGTAGTATATCAAATGTTAATAGTTACCAATGTCCCTGTAAAAAGGGCTACCCTATAGCAGTTTATGCAATGTGTTACTCTCTTAATAATCATTGTGGCTACTGGATTTAAGGAACTTTATTTGCCCTTATTAGTAACCGGAATACACTGTACAATGTGATGGGTGTGAAAACACATCTGTCTGTCAATCTTCCTCAAAGTGTCAGTATCAGTGGAGCTGAGATAAACCTTACTCTCCCGGCTGTAACCACTTATGTCCTATGTTGCAACTTGGCTCCAAGCATGTCGGCATTGAAGATGTGCACATTTTCAAACTTTGTCATGAAATGACAGGCTTATTGTTGTGGATTGGGACATACTGTATAAGCTGTGTGGTTCAGCAAATAAATAGAGTAAAGGATTTATCTTCTCTGGTAAGATATGATAACAGTTGTTTAGCTGCAATAAGGCATGTTCAAAGTATCATACGAATAGTACGACCACACCCAAATATACGCTCCCACAGTGTCTTGTTAGTACGGAGGAACCCACTTTTTCCCCAGGTTAAAACAATGGGTGACGTCATGGACTCGACCCTTATGCAAATAAGTGATTTACCTTGACCTTACTCAACACCAACGGGGCTTAATTTCATCCCTCTATCACTACTGTGATTTATCATTATAATATTGAGTACATTCTGTGCAGCTAATTAGTTTACTTTACAACTGTTCTTATCAAATATAAAAAGTTGATACCTCATGTAGCTCTCAATAGATGACAACAACTGCTGAAATTCCTGACTCTTTTTCTCAGATAGTTCCTTCCCAGCCTAAAACCATTCAAAAAAAGTGTTCAGTTTTGATGATATTATCAATGATAACAAAGTAACAATTATAACAAATAGCATGTAGAAACTTACCCAGGGTAAAGAAGAAAGAACTGTATACACAAACCAATCAGAACGAACCTACAAGTGAAGGTTCAAACTGGATTCAGAAAAACATTGACAAAATGAATGTTGATGTCATTTAATTTTTCTGTCATTGTTTTCTTTCAGAATTCATAGCCTGTGAGGAATTGATTCAACAAAATTAGTCAAGTGATTAATTTCAACATTCACAAATTTGTAGATAAGGTTTAAACTATTGAAAACAATAATACTGTTGCCTAGAAAACAATCAAAGTCTCAAGAAAAAATTATAATGTGTTTATAACAATTATTGTGACAGGAAAATTAGTGTCATGACTTGTAACAAGGATTCCATAGTGGTAAATAAATGTAGAAAGGAAACAAGATAAACATTTGAGTTTGGAGAACATGTTTCAGACACATCCGTATCCACTCTCAGTTCAAAGAATGTGACAAAAAGCAGAATGAACAAAGTTGTAATAGGCACGCAATACGTGCTAATGTAAACAAGCCAAGCGACAAGAATGTCTGCCGCACGCTGTGTCACAGCACAGCACTTATCTTCGTTACATATGTCCCACAGATAACGCTCAGCAAACAAATCTCCACTCGATTTCCTCCGTAAATTTACTTTAATTTTATCCTAGGTAACTCAAATGCTTGATGACTTGTTTCCCTCTCAGATTGTTTCTATATAATTTTAAACTTGATAACTCAAACCATGTTTTGAGCATTTAAAAAGTCAGGAAACAAACAATAGAAAACAAACTTTTTGGAAAAACAAGGTAACTGAGTGAAACAAACTAGCAAATAATTTAAATCTTCCCTTCAGAAAATAATCATCCTCGCAGCACACAGTGTGAATGGTTTGGCTTATTGCCATGAGTTTGACAATGTTTCTGCTCTCAGTTGTTGAGCGGCAAAGAAGATGTGATCCAAAATTCCATGAGATAAGTAAGGCTAACATTGAATGATGCATAATTTCACTGCATATTGTCAGAAAGAAGGTGATTTCTTAAAATATTATCGAGCCAACTGACCTTGTAAACAAGTTGCATTCTTTCATGGTTGAACTGTAAAAGGGGCAGAGTCCAACATCTTTACGTGCAAACTGCGTTCTATTCTTAAAACCCTTGGGTTAATTAGATCTCATACACGAACCACGAAAGCAGCAAATTCCAAAGCTTTCATGTGCAAACTTCATGACAAAGCAACTCACAGTAAGGGCATCATCACATGAGTCACGGAAGCAATGCGCATGAACAGTGTGTTACCCGCTGTCCTGTTTTTGGCTATGTTGATTCGCTGGGCCGCCAGGCAAGCGTGACTACTTACAAAAATTCCACCCAGCATCCCAGCATCACAGTTCTGAGATTCCAGCTAACAGGGCTCGCTCGGTTGTCATATAATCACAAACTTGATTTTTGGTTGCGTTTAACTAAGGTGCCAGGTTTTCTGCAAAGCGAGCCAGCCTGCCTCATGTAATCAAACCCTAAGTTCTATCACCGATTTTTCAAAGCTCCCAAGCACACACACACAAGCCCTTCCCCTTCAACATCTTCATACCCTCTTCTCTATATTAAATGAACTTTCCACCTAATTCCATGTTCTCTCGATACTAATATTATCAAACACAAGCAAAAAACGATCCTAAACAAAAAACGTAACAATGTTTAAAATAAGTACAACGGAGATCCATATTCGCAGTCGTCCGGTCGTGGCAGATTACTACAATCTCGCACCAACGATTAAGATAACTCCAAAAGTTGTCCTTTGGACGAGTGAGGTTTTGCTCAACCACAGAATCTTTTCAAAAAATCTTATGTGATTTTATCATGTACATTTTACCTGTGTTCTGACTACTTCTCAACAACTTTTAAAACCTTTTAGAATAACAGAGATTAACATGCAACTTCGGTACGGAATGAAATCGTAAGTGATGGTGCAGAAAAGGATCGCAGGCCCAGTTTTCATGTTGCTAACCATTGGCATTTCTTTTCATTTTGTGAAGAACTGCATTGACGGGCCATTTGTAGAAAATGTGACAGCACTCATCACGATGTGGCACTTTTTAGAAAGCATTTTGCCGCCTTCAGCAGAAAAAAGATAAGCAGGAGCCGCTGCTTTATATGTGGCAAACTTCCTGAAGCTACTTGTAAAACATTAAAGAACTGCATTTAGCCTCAGGCCTGTAGCCTATTTTACCTTACAGTTTAGTTAAAACCCTCTATTATTATCTATAACGGAAATATAGTGCATAATTATCAGAAATGTTCAAGTGGCACACAGTTTATCACCATTCTTCCCACAATTCTGCACTTTTGTCCGAACAACCTAAATTGTAACCGGCCAAGTGTGCCATCAAGCTTACTTGCCAGGCTGATGACTTTGATAAAAAATGAATATAAATCCCTGTACAAGTATGTTTTCGACTATTGGTAAGACCTTTCACAACCACCACTTCATTTCAACACACTGTAACTACACTATCCCTTCATAACCAAATTAGCACTTCTACAACTACCTCACTGCAACACCTAAAATCACTTTTACCTCCCAAAATAATATTATTATTTTCTGTTATTTCACATTAAATTCTACGATACACAAGTTTCACTGATTAACCCATTCGCTCCTGGAGATTTTGCCGAAAAACGCGTTTTGAAGCTAGTCGAGTGGTTTTCTGGTCACTGTCGTGCTATAAAGAGCTAAAACTTACCACAAACCGGTTTACAGGTCGTACACTTCCCGGCCTTCTGATCCAGATGATCCAGATGCAAAATATCAGCTTGCGAAGTTCGGGCATGCGCAGAAAGCAAAATTTTGGGGTTTAAAAGTGACACAGCAGTCTTGACTTTTACTTTTCGCTTTCTCTCCTCCCTTCTTTTTTCGCTTTTCTTGCCTCATTTTTTTTTTCTCTTGCTGGGCATTCAGTAGGCTTTATTTTGGTGGGAAGAGTTTTTAGGAAAGCTTTTAGGATCTCAGGAATAGGTGAAAGGAAAGGTAGCTGGGTAATGGAACAAGATTTTCATGGAGATTTTCAGGTAATATATCAAACATGAGACGCAGTGTTTCATCACCAGATGAAACACCAAGAAGAGAGTTGAAAATACGACGCGCAGCGGAGTATTTTTGACGAACTTCGAGGTGTTTCATCTGGTGATGAAACACTGTGTCGAATGTTTGATATTTCTTCTCAAACAAAATCATTTTTGAAGGAGAAATTAAGGATGCAAATACTGAGCAGTTTTTCATCCGATTTCCAAACACTCATTAAACATTAATTTTCTTTGTATTTTCTTTATGAATTATTAATGAGTTTGAGAAGTCAATGTCACGTGGTTTTTTGCTTCTTTCTCCGGTGTCCTTGACTAAATTGCGCTCATTCTGGTATGGTTTGAAAGATCCCTTCCCTCTGCACAAGTTAGCGAAGAAAGTTGTCCTTGACCGTTAAAACTGATGACGTCACAAAGGGTAGAAAGGGCCTGGATCCACACGGGCGGTTACGGGCGGTTCAGGGGCAAATGGGTTAAGAAACTACAGCCGTTATCAGAATTCTTACCCACTATAACCAACTAACATCCAATATAACTCCACGCCTTCACTTTACGCATCTCAACCAACCCCTAGAATATGCAACGCTACTGTACTACTCACTGATCTCTAATACATGTACACATAAAAAAAAACTTCAGACCCGCCTAGTGCATCGATGCCTAAATATACGCCCCCCACAACATCTTGTTACATATGAAAGAGCAAATAGTTTATACAGGATACTTCATGGAAAGTGCACAAAGTATGGTATTTACACGCAAGATGTTGACATGCCAGAGATCCTACCTTATGTATCTTGTCTTACGTATTTTGGAAACTAAATATGGGATTTGGGAAGGCCATGAAAAAGTGCAGGGTGCGGGATTTTAGCGAAAAAGGAGCAGAACCTTCCAGACCCCAACTCCACATGTACTTTGACCTGGGTAGGGAAACATTAATAATAGAGAGGAGAGGTGTGACGTCACGTTACCATAATAGCAAAATTTCTGGATCACAAAAATATGGAGTTTAAGCAACGACAACAGCGACGGCAACAAGAACAGTTAGAAATAAGCAATAAGTTTATACTAGCTAAACAACAACCTTGCATGTATCACGCTTTTTTGTACATTTCTTAGCCATCGTTTACGACTGTGACATGACACTTCCTAATTTTACGCTCTTACTTTACGGAGTAGGTAAACACAACACAAAAATTTTCTTTTTCTAAACTTAAATGCCGTTCTTTCGGATTCAACCCAGAAAATTTTGCCAACATTTGGCAAATTAAACCAAATTGAATAAGATTGATTTAGTTTGAAACTGCGAATGCACTTTTTAAATGAAAATTTTCGGTTTGTTGTCATCCAAAAATTATGCTACCATGGGAACGTGACATCATGACTTCTCCTCTCTCTATATTGCAATGCATTTGTCAAATTTGTTTCTCAAAAGACCTGTCAAGTCACAAGATTTTTACAATTTTGAATGCAAACTCAAAATACTGCACTGTACTCAAATACTGTATGTATATTTTTTAGCCCAACAAAATTGTGATCAGGTACCTGTGGAACATCACTTTCCATTGTGGCCGCTACAAACAGGTTGAAGAACTCCAAGAGGGCACTAGGCATAAGTACTCGGCAGTTCGTCAGATCCGCCAGGAAACGTACCTTACAAAACAAAAACAAAGTTGTAAGTAAATGAGAAAAACACATGTTACTAAAACTAAATATTTATACCTGTATAAATGTACAATGCACGTGCAATGGCAATAAACCTAATTTAAATTTATCATTATCTCAAGCGAGCTTGAGCCCATAGTCATATTCTTGGTGGAGTGGTCAGCTGTATATGTACTATCTTAAACTGTATAGCGGAGTGTTTCCAAAATCTGTGCACATTCGCACATTCTTAGGATGCTATGGTATGTGGCCGTGAAGGCCCTGGTGTTGAGTTGAGGGTCCATCTGATAACTCTGCGGAAATGACATGAATGTAAAGTTCCGAAGCATTTATAACAATGTTTGTTCGATGCTTTCTTTTAACAATAATAATAATTTAATAATATAATAATAATAATTTAATATTTATATTGTGCAAAATACATGTAAATATGATCAACATCCAAACATAGTTTTCTTAGTGTACAAGATGCAAGACTTTTCGATTCACCTTGCCCACCAGAAATCTATTTACCAAGCCAAGTAGAGCCTGATTTCAGCTTAGTGTGGGATGAGCCTTTGGTAGATAAATGTGATTGCAAAGTCTATAAATCCATATAAGTTTAGTTAATCCAGGTTTTTACATTGCTTGTTCCCCATTTTTTAGTACTGGAAAGGTTTTACTGGTGTATTTTATGTTTCCAACCATGTTACTTTAATCTTCAAAGTACTAGGCTTTTCATGATTTACTATTGAGATGAAAGTGAAGAATGGGTCCTTGAACATGGATTGAATAGCCGACTGACTATAATAAGACGCGCAGTTGTCACATTGAGCATTTACTGTTTTCATTGTGAGCTTATCTTTGAATAAAATAGTCAAATTCAATCTGACTCTTGTTTACTGTGTTGTTCACTTCAATTTCCACGTTCATGATTCTGTGGCGATTTCCTTTGTTGATACAGGAACAATAATAAGGGCTTTCTTATTCACACATACATCTTCTATTCACTTATTATGAAAGTGGTTCTCAGCATCAACCACATCTCTAAGGTAAAAGCAACTGCGCTTCCAAACCAATGGTTACTGCTACTTGTAGTTTTATGTGTGTTTGCTGACATGTCACTTGCTTCGTTTCGTGCCCCTCCAAGGGAAAATAATGAAGAACGCTTGATTTCTGAGTGTTGATCTTTATCAATTACTACGATCAATATTATTTTACTATCAACGAATCATTACTGATTTTATAGATGACATGTTTGATTGTCTTCCTATTATACCATGCCAGTACGCTTGTCCAGCGTACTAAGCAAAAAAAATTCAAAAGAGGTGCTTAGAATGGGCAGCATATGCTTCCTATGATCAATTTTCACTGCTTGGGCATAGTGGGGTCTTATTAACCACCTGAAACCATTAGAGCAAACCGTATCCCTCATGGATCATAAAAACAACCAAAGCTGCCAATGCACACTCTAATCTAGCATCAGGAAGATGTTGACATTGAACATAACAATGAGATTACCATTAATCTTGCTCTATCAAACTGCGCAGCCATCAGCACTTCCTTGAGATTTTCTAAAATCATATCTAAAAACTTGAAAAAAATTAAAGAGAATTTTATTATTTGACTGAAAAATAGTATTTTGGTATATGCATAAATGACCAAGCATGAGGTCAAGATGGCTGGAATTTGGCCAAGTTCTTTTTTTGCATTTTAACAGACTTTCAAAATGTCCTTCGTCTGACTTTTATATGGTGCGAGACCTCTCATGTCTTCGTCACTTGGTCAGCAGCTTCGCGGCCTAAAAACCTTGCTCCACCCACTTTAACTTGTGAGGTCAAATTGTGTCAAGTCTAGCATTTTTACTGACCGTGACAAAGTCAAGGTCAATAAAAACATAAAAAAGAACTAGGCCAATATCTAGCCATCATGACCGAACAAGCTTGGTCAATGAAGGATTTATTATATGGTGAAAAAGAGAACTTTTCCTGGGAGGACCAATGCAGGAAATCCCAAGCGGCCAAGATTGAGTAGCCAATCAGAACACAGGATTCGCTTCATCTTTCCCACTCACAGGTTCAGCCATATAATAATTATACACACTGTATAAATTATCAGGTTTCTATTACACCTGCGCAGAATGTGTGTAGTCTACAACAAATACTAATGTACATGTACGGAATAATACATTTATTAGGTCCATGTACAGCATGTAGTTCAGTTCAGGTAGTAGTCTAATCTCACTTATTTGATTTCAACTCAAGTAGAATTTTGACACGTGGTAGGAAGTTCTAATCTAGGCAAGCCATACTTGTACAGTCAACTCCCGATAACTCGAACCTTCAAAGGTTTTCGAAAAAAGTTCAAGTTATCGCCTGGTTGAAGCAAATAGCTGAAGGTAAGGGAAAAACCAGGTTTTGCTTTACAATGAACATTTTCATTATATTTAATTGTAGAAACTTAAAGTGAAAATTGAAAGATACTTATAGATTATAAATCAGAATGTAAAATAACAAACCATAGCCTAAATAGAGCATGCGTTTTACTGTTTTGAGAAGTAAAGCTGTTTCACGTTAGATTTGTGACAAACATTAGCCTCCACTAGTCAACTATATGCCTACAACACGTCAAATGGGAAATTTAAAATTCAATGTTTCGGACACCAGTGCACTGTTTTTTCAAACATGGTTTGAGTTATTGAGTTTAAAATTCTATAGAAACAATCTGAGAGGGAAACTAAAATTGCTTCGAGTTAGCGAGAGGTTCAAGTCATCAAGGGTTTGAGTTACCTAGGATAAAATTACAGTAAATTTATGAAGGAAATCGAGGGGAAATTGATTTTGGTTCGAGTTAGCATGAGGTTCGAATTAGTGGGGGTTTGAATTATTGGGATTTGACTGTAGTTTAATTAAACAATGGAAAAATGTTGATTCTTAAAAGAAATTCTGCTCAATTACACCAAAGGTAATGTGTCCCAAGCAGTCTGGAGAATATGATTGGTGATACTAGAGTTAAAAGAATTATTAATCCCAATTTCTTTTGGCTAGAGATTTATAAACTAATATAATGACATGCAATGACCAGAGCATGATAAACTCTCCTTGTTTAAAAATGGAATCACACAGTGTTGGGCACGCTCGGCCTTCAAAATTATCTTTTGTCTTACTTACTGACATTGCAGACATTACAGACTAGCACTGTGTTTCCGTTTCTATAGAAACTGTAAAAAATAATTTTAGTCATGCTTTCATCAACAACATTATTGTATTCAGAGTTTAAAGTTAATGATTGCCCAATGTTGCTGATGGACGTCATTGTTGAAGTGCAAAAAACATCTATGTACACAGGGTTATCGAAAGTAGCCGGCTGCCCGCGAAAATTGCTGCCTACTTGACCGTTAGTATTGGTTGGCTACTCTCTGATCTGCTTGGCATTTCTTTATGGATGGCATTTTTTAAATAAAATATCCCTAGACTGGCTGCTTACTTTGACAACTCAGACATCTACTTCAAAACTTTCTGACAACCCTGTGTACATTTGACATAGGTAAGGTGGTCAATAAAAGAGTATAGGTATGGCCTGTTAATCTAGTTGCCTTAGATAATCAGTACGGAATATCCCTAAATTTAAGGACAGGGCCAACTGGTCGCACGACACTTTTCAGCCAATGAGAAGGCGCGCTTGTGTTTATCAACAAACAAATCAAAACATCGCCCCAGTGATCCAAAATTTTCAAAACAACGGACGGAGTCGGACAGAATCAGTCATCGTTTCGAGGCTCTCAGGCATATTTTCAAGACTTTTCATGAGGCATACACAATTTTGTTAAGTGGACAGCGTATCGCAAGCCATATTGGAAGAGTCTCGAGAAATATTCAGCACATTTTGTGGCTTATTTCTTCTTTTAAACAACGCGATGCATAGGCGAGATTTTGGTCGATTTTCAAGGTAGGTGGTATCTATTATTTTTTCGATTCACAGATTTTTTGCGAAGTTCTAGACATTTTTCCTCGATTGTCACTTGGATTAGCTTTTATCATGTTGAATGTGGGGATGGTAGACAACCTAGACTTTTGGTAAACAATTTTTGAATTCCGAGGTCCAAAACACGTACGTTTTCCCCTCCCAGGTTTCTAACAGAGCAGTGTTATTACGTTATTACTTTTTTTTCGCATTAGTACGAGCCTTTGCCTTTTTTCTTTTCAAGGCCAAAACAACTTTATTAGTCTTATGGATATTCACGTCCAACATCTCACCTCACTTGCCGAATTTGCGGGAATGAAATTGAAGATCATAAGCGCAAGGTAGATACTAACCGCTTTGTTTTTGAAATTCACCAAATCTGGAAAGATTTAATGTTGTTGGATTCTCCAAATGTTCATCACCGTTAAAAAACAATCAAAGAAAGAATGTATTTCACTACTCATTGAACATGCACTGATTATCTGAGATAAAATTAAAACATTGCAGGTACTACAGCAAGCAAAGAAAGCAGCAGATGCGTGAAGTCAACACGAAACAACACAAAAAAACAAACAAGAAAAATTAATAAATTTGAACTACTTTTTATTCTTGTTATGATGACTGGTTCTTTGATTCTTGTCCTGTAGAAGTTAATAGGTAGTACCAATCTTGTTTTGTACGATCTCAACAAATTTTCACACTCTCTCTAAGGCTATTTTTACACCGGACCAGTTTGCTTCTATCAAAAATCTTGCAAGCCATGCCAGTGAAGCCACGACCTCTGCGCTCAGTCCGGTTTCAGTTCAAACACCCCAATGATTCCTTGCAATGAATAATGCTCTTATTCTCTTACATGAAATGTTTTCTTTGAAATGTTAAATGTGAAACCTAGACGAGTACTGTAAGCTCATCTTTAATTCTGTCCGTCGACTCCGTCCGTTGTTTTGAAAATTTTTGAGCACTGGGGCGATGTTTTGATTTGTTTGTTGATAAACACAAGCGCGCCTTCTCATTGGTTGAAAAGTGTCGCGTGACCAGTTGGCCCTGTCCTTAAATTTAGGGATATTCCGGACTGATAATTGAGATAGTTATCTAAGCTCAGTAAAAATTATAATATCTAATTAAGAAGGTAAACAAGTGAAAATTTGTTATTACCTCCTCTCCACAGCTGTAATTCTTTGCATTTAAAAGGCCTACCAATGTGCTATAAACAGTTATTTTCTCTGGTAAATTTGCAGCACTGTAAAAGAAAACATAGACTACATGAAATACAGTATACTACAGTAAACTGGAGCAAGGACAAAACCTAGACCCAAGGTCAAATGAAAACAACAACAGCAACCATTACAGTTGTATTAAAAAAGTAATATGCAGGAAAGCAGATCACACCACCCTGTCAGCAGATCAATTAAATATTATTGCTCCTGGTTGCTGCAGTCCAACAGAACACATTTCTACAGTTTTGTTGGTTCACTATTACAGCCAATTGTGCTGAAACAAGAGACTTACATTAATGACCTTCATTGAAAACATCCCACTTCCAGACAAGGCAATATCTAAATCTAAACTGATAACCGCATGAATCTCCCATCATAATAGTGACAAGTGTTAATAATCCTTGAAATATTAGCTATATAAGGCAAGTGTTCTCTCTACGTAGACCAACAAATCCCAGAAAAAGGGAATCAAGACTGTCTGTCCATAAAGAGTATTATATAATAAAATATTATGAGTCAAAATTACCTATGCCTACAGAACTTAACATTTCTGAGAGACCTGATTCCACGGATCTTTATAGTCATAAAGGATTTTGTCAAATTCAGTAACAAACACTAGCTTTACACGTACACGCAAGATTGGGATGAGCAAATGGTGGTTGCTTTCTCAATCATTTTAATGGCTCACATTGAAAAACAATCCTAATAAACCATTTTGCTGGCTATTGCTACCTATAGGGGTCCTGTACTCTATTATTAATAACTACGTACAACCTGTCAGTGCACAAGAAAAAAAAAATAGTTGCAAACACATGAAAATTACTGACAAATGTGACAAAGCCTACAAAGAGTGAAGAAAATGTAGAAAAGAAGAGCAAATTTTAAAAGGAACAAGACGCTACAGAGTGTACATTTTGGCGTCGTGGTTGTGGAAGTGATTAATGCGGAGGAATAGTAATAAATGAAATATGGTAAGAGTAAGGTGTTAATTTGTGAAATTATGGAATTTGTCAGGATATTCTGAAAAAGAGCAACATCCAAGAGGCCTACTTGCCAAAAACTAGCATTTCAGGACAAATTGTCTCTGAGATATTAGCCCAGTTATGCTCTGATGACTCCATACAAATCCTTCTAAATTTGACGTGGGTCTAAATGTTTAGACCTAAGTCAAATATGAGGTTACTGGCGGTGAATAACAAGTCTTATACTACTGCATGAGAAATTTCTGCAATCTGATTGGCTTAGGGCAGTGGTATTTCAGCTTAATTTGAAATACCTACAAGTGAAAATTACAAACCTTTTGCGGGTAGTAGTATAAACAAATAATAGCATGATATGTATGTGATATTTGGCATAAATACCACTTGTGATATTTCAAAATTGTCTCAAATTTCACTTGCCTAACGGCTTGTGAAATTACGCATAACAATTTCGAAATATCACTCATGCCAAATATCACTACAAATCATGCTATTACCTATACTAAGAAAACAAACAGTGAAAAAATAATTCTCTGTTTTTCTTAGTCACATCAGGCTTCAAAAAAAGCATAGCAGTCTCATGTACTGATTAAAGATATGTAAGGCATGGGTAAGGAGTCAATTACGTTGAGAATGGAATTGCCTAAAACTCAATGTTACAAGTTTGAATGTTTTAAGGATAATTATTCACTGACTATCAGCAAGCAGGGATGTCAGATTAACACAAGGAAGTTTAATAACAAAGGAAAATAGCCTTTATAGAGCTTTAAAACACTGCATCTGCCAACACAAACTTGACTTGAACTTAAGAAAAATTAAAAAGCCTCTAATAACAAAATGTCTTTGTACAGCATTTTGTAACTTTAAATTCATCATAAAACAGTTCGAAAGGAGGGCTCACTCGTGAAATGTTTTTGAATACTTGAAGAGAAATTGCGTGTCTCTGCACGGCCACGTAATATCCTCTATTTATTCCTCGAGTAAATTAAAAGCTAAAGTCAAAGGGATCTCAACATATCACGAAGTAGTCCGGTCTCATTTCGTGAAATAGCCGAAATAAGCCGAAAAGTCATGAACTTATATTTTACACGCCCAATCTTGTCCTGAAACTAATGCATCATTTCATAACTATTTTTCACAGCCCGAACTACCTTGGGTCGCAGAAGCGCAATCGGCTAATTCCTCAACTTACTCCTCTGATCTGACTGGTCACACAGGTGAGTCGGTTAGATGCCCGGGAAAGCCAAAATAATAATTCTTTCTTCCTCGAAAAAGTTAAAGAATAAATCAAAGAAATTGAAGTGATCTCGAGATATTGCAAACTAATTCAGCTCTCACCTCGTCAAATAGCCGGATAAAATCGAAAACCTACAGACTTTGCATGCCCAATCTTGTCAAAAAAGGTCAACTTTGATACATTCCTGAGTGTCGCAAATCCTTCACTTCGCACTCCGACGAAGTAAAAACAAATTTAAAACTGACAGATTTAAAAAATGTGTGCAGAAGAAAGCAATGATCAGCAATGTGATGAACAAATACGATTCAAACATGTTATTGTATCATCCATAGATTCAAGCAAGAATAATATAAAAAACATAAGTAGGTTGAGTATGATTGTCCGGAGGAATATAGTTGACAAGGAACAGTTTGTGCCCTTTGTGGAGAGAGGGTTCCACACTCAATTATCAGAACATAGGCACATTTACCATGCATCAGCTATTTTGAATGCTTTAATGTAACTGTCTCAACAATCTACTGTTTTAATCCTAAACAAGGACTATGTTGTGTGCAAAATTGGGTATCGCTGTACACTAATGAAGCAGATGAAACAGAACTAAAAAATTACAAAATATGTGCACTGTACAATTTGCAGTAGCCGAATTAGGTCAGAAATGTCTTGAAGCAGCACCCACACTAAAATATGGGCCCTCACACAGCTACATCACTGTACTCAGCGTTCAAATCATAATGATATTTCAATGTTATGCTTCTAAACACCTTTAGCTGTAACAAAAGACGAAAAAATTGTGAAGAATCAAGACCGCAGTCTCAAAGGGCCCTTGTTTGACCTTGAGCCGAGTGAATGTGATGTTAGATGCCAAAATCTCATTGGTTCCTATGCATCGACTCATAGTACCTTCAACCTCATTGGCTCCTGTAACAGAAATCTGAACACACAAAACCACAAAGATACATACGCTCAAACCACTGACACAATGAGGTATCTTTTCAAAATAGCTCAAAAAGCAGGCATCATGAATATACATTGTGTAACAATATTATTGTTCGAAAACCCTTCTGCAATGTGGTTGCAAAATTGAGTTGGTAGGTACATTATGTACAGTATAGGCACATGGTTTTATCCTTACCAAGTGCAAATAATCTTCAGTATACGTTCTTTGTAGTTAGGCAAATCAGCTTCCAGCACACTAGCAAGGCCTTCCAAATTGCTTTCTAGTGATGATGTACTCTAAAATATTGATGAAAGAAAACACAAGTGATGTGTTTGTGTCTGTGTATTACTATTCATCAATTATTTACCTAAAATGTACTTAATTACTTACCTATTTATTTATATAAAATCCTGACCCTGTCATGAGGAAGATACATTTTCAATATACCTGTAAGGTTCTAGGGAAGTACACCCCCTTGCCCTATGGGTAATATTAGTAACATCAAGAGGTAGCCCAAGCTCAGTACCTAAATTCATGGTAGTTTTGAAAACGAAGCACTCAAAAATGAAGACTGAAGCAGAAAGCAACCAAATCTCAAAAACGAAGCACCTAAATCTCGAAACCTGTCTGCCCTTTAAAAACATGAGACAGTCCCTTGTCAAGTCACCAATGGTAATACAGCAGGAACCAAGTGCGATAACGAATAGAATGCAGTCCAAAACTATTCAAGAAGAACTGCGAGATGTTGCAAATACATTTCCCCACCCTGAATAAATTTTGAAAAGTGACGATTTCCTGTTTTGGACGTGATCAAAGTGTATTACAATGGCTGCCATTTTCACTAGGCCAAATTACTAGCCAAACATTTTTCTAGGTTTTTTTTTACAAAACTAGGTAAATGTAACATCTGTGCCACAGGACTAATCTCCTCGATTTTAAAGATATATGGAAAGTTAATAAAAGTTCGATATATTTTAATATCCGATCAATAGGCCTTTAAGGTTCTAGAAAATTCTAAGTGTTTACCTTTAAAAATACAACATGATGTAAACCCAATTTACTAATAGGCTTTTCATGCAGAAACATAAATATTAACATAGTGCTTTTAAAGAGTGAGACATCTTGTCTCCAAACATGATGTCCCTCAGCACTAATTTACCCTTAAAATAGACACAGTAATAATTTAACTTAGGAAACTCATTAATTGTATGTTGACACTAGCTTTTAAGAGTAGGAAGCTTTTAGCTCTGATTTAATCCTTAAGGCAAACATATTAGCCACGCAAGTAAATAAATAGCGAGCTGCTAAGGAATAGGTTTGGTAAGCAGTTATAGATAGATAGAGAAAGAGAAGAACATCAAGAAGAATGTAGAACCGCCTTGCAAGTAAGTAAAATAAACCTTGAATTACAGCTGTATACTGTGCATGAGCAATATTAATACAGTCGTTACTAGTACGAGTTATTTCGTTGTTGTTTACTTTTTGAAAGCTATTACATATATGTATCTTGCCTTCACTTCTAAAAAGCAAGTTTCAAAAGGACTATTAACAGGAGTGACTGTCAACTTACTTCTGAGCGGTACCGTAATAATATTATTAAAAGTCTATGTAACAGGTGCCCTTGTAAATTCTTTTAATGCATATTTTGATGTGATATGCCTACGCATCCTTAATCAGGTAAAAACCTATCATGTTAAATTAGTCATGTTATTTCACTCTCTAGATCTAAATATTTTTTTCTGCTACACAAATGGTTTTAATCATGAGCCACATTTGTACTTCCTATTAACATGGTTAATTTTCTACCTAGTTTAAATGATTTTTGTTTTTTAATATATTAAATTTTAGGCATTTTAATGAAAAACTTAGTGGGGGAGAAAAGAAGAAAGGAACCAAACTCCAGTGGGATGGCACAAGAAGAGAAGCCTGCAGGGAGAGAGAGGAGGGAAGTGACAAGAATGGAAGAAAAGAAGATTGCTGCATAAGTTCATAATTCTTTTAATTCAATGATACAATGTGAAATAAAAAGTATATTAAAGTGTTTTACATTGTGACATCTGTTTCTTCTAAAATACGGTAAATGTTTGCCATCAATAGCTCAATAGACACACAACAGTTCAATAACCACACACGTAGGATTTACTCAATATCAATGTACATTTTCCAGGGTTCAATGCCAAAACACCGAAAATGGAAGTTTTCATCTCACATAAATTTGAGCATTTACTACTTCCAAATTTATCTGTCAAAAATTCAAGTGCAGTACTGAAAGACCCATCCAGACCCTCAATATCTATATCTCATGACAAATGTAAGACAGTTGTGCCATTTTTTGGTTGGAAACCATCACTTTGTTAAAAAAAATATACACTGTATACATTGTGTGGTTCCAGAAAATATCCACACCGCAACACAGAGGGAGGTGAGGGGATCAGAGGTCCAGGAAATTCCAGAGGGGAAGGGGGTTGGACAATAACAATCACTTTCCAAGCGGTTAATTTCCAACTCAGTACGAAAATTGCCACTTATTGATCTGGTAGATCATTTTTGAAGCTTCAGTCGATCGAAAAACAGTACAACAGTGAAAGTTTCGCTTCAAGAAGTAGAAGGTATACAATGTAACGATTTCAGAATCTAGAGTTTTTATTCTCCTTTTCGTTTTCCCTTAATTTCGTGGTTGAAAGTTTGATGTGTTCACGATCGTATTGACGCTGAAATGGCAATTCTATCAACATTATGGCCGTGAAGATGGCTACCCGCCATTTGGAAAAAAAAATCGTAAGCTTGCACATCAAGGTAAACTGACAGATACAACTTAATCAAAATAATTTCATTTAAAGGAATAAGCAACTGGCACACAGGGCTCGAAATTGCCACTGATACGGTTGCCAATGCGATTAACATTTTCTCCTTGGCGACTAAAAATTATAGTTTAGTTGCCAAAGTGGCGACCAGATTTCTCTATGATTTAGATTTAAATTAAAAGAGTAATGCAGCTATCAATGTAAAGCCGGCCAGGGAGCAAGCAGTGCATGGGGTGGGGAATTGATCGTCTTTGTCGGCCCTGGGGTAGGGTATTTGACTGATCTTGTTCTCCCAGGGGAGGGGATATTTGAATCTTTCTTCGCCCGACGTAGAGATATTTGACCGCCGACTCGGACGAAAAAGACTGAGACCGAACATATGTTTCCTGCTTCCACGCTTCACGCATGTGCCGTACGGTTTGAAAAGATCAGCAAGTCATTAGGCTGAGTAGATTTCACTGTTTTGTCTTCAAATTTCGTTTGTTTTAGCGCGTTTTTGATCAATTGAACCTCGTAAAATACTGTGGTATCAAAGTAAACGGAAGTAAAGAGAAACCAAGTCGATTTTTGCAAGTGCAATTGATTAGTGTATGGCTCATTCGCTACAATCACTGTAAACTTATAAAAACTGACTTTCTTTGTACCCTTTACTAAGAACGGTATATTTAAGCTAACAAAATGTGGACTTTCTGTAAAGGTTTATGTATTCTACCCAGTGTAACACGGATTATGGTTAAAACGTATAATTGCAGCTGTAAAAGGAACATGTATCTTTGGTGATGCAGCAACGTTTATAAAAGATTATAGAGATATATTTTTATTGTGCCTTTCTTGGGTTCTGCCTTGGGATTGACAGCAATGTGCAGCCTGGGGTGGGGAAATTTGGTTGCATTTGACTGGAATGATTTGCCCGTGGGCAGGGAATTTGATTGCAAATTTTTGGAAAAAGTCAAATCCCCACCCCCTGCCCTGCCCCCTCCCCCCCCCCAACATTACATTGATAGGAGCATAAAGTTAAAACAAACATTTTATCTTCAGGGTTTGAGCTAGGATTTGATCACTGGGGGACAATTTGTCCCCTTGGCTAAAATTTTGGGGGACATTTTCATTTTTAGGGGGAAATTTGTACACCCTTCCTTCTTAGCAGGGCTTCTGATAGGTCTCGGACGAAAAAGTCAAATTTGTGGGATTTTTAGGGACAAATTCACGGAAAAATCGACCGATTTCGCGGGAGTTTTGGGGCAAACTTCACCGAAAAGCGATCAGTAAAAAACGGTCGATTTTGTGGTTATTTTCAAGGCAAATTTCGCTAGAAATCGATCGGTTTTGCGCTGATCAGACCAGCCTTTTTAACGTTTTTCTAACAGAGGCCATCATTTGCTCTTTCAACAACAATACGCTCCAGAAATGAACCAATGGCAAAGCCTTTAACATGATGGCTAGTGCCCAGTTTTTCGCAACCTAATCTGTTTGCACATTTCAGTGACAAAGTTCCAAGATAAATTTGTAAGTTTACGGCAAGTAAATAGCCCCTATAGCTGAAATAAGTTTCAAATATGTTGTACAGACATGTATTTGATAAGATTTCTACCAAATTTTGCGGTATTTTTCGTGTTTTTGTGAATTTCGCGGCTCCGCGACCGCGGGAAAAATCAGATGCCCTGTCTTAGATTTCCGACAAAAATAGCAGTAGAGCGTGACTGAAACGTAACTTTGGAATGAACTTTAAAGGTGCGATAAAATAAACTTTCCACGTTCTGTTTCAGCTTGCAACTTCTGTACTGCAATAACTCTCTTCGTGTGTGCTTCCTTTTGAGTTTTTTCCCTAAATTTTGAAGGTCCCCTTAGCCGTTTTTTAAAGGGACAATTCCAATTGCAGTGCGGGATTGGCGCAATGGCATGGCCTGGCTCAAACCCTGCATCTTATCCTGCTTTGCTTTCATCATAGAAAAAAATGTGCCAAATCGCATAAACAAAGCCAGTTTACCTCCAAATTTATACCAACTTCCTTCCACGATATTTTCAAATCTGATGGATCACACCATACTATGCAGGGCTTCTGACAGGTTGCGGAAAAAAAGTCAAATTTCATGGGATTTTTAGGGGCAAATTCGCAGAAAAATCAACCAATTTCGCAGGAATTTTCGGGGCAAACTTAGCCGAAAATCAATCGGTCAAAAAAAGCAGATTTTGTGGTTATTTTCAGGGAAAACTTCGTTAGAGATCGATTGGTTTTGTGCTGACCAGACCAGCGTTTTTAATGTTTTTCTAACAGCAGTCATCATTTGCTCTTTCAACAACAATACGCTCCAGAACTGAACCAATAGCAAAGCCTTTGACATCATGGCTAGTGCCCAGTTTTTCGCAACATAATCTACGCCTGGTAGTTTCGGGACGTTGTTTGCACGTTTCAGTGACCAAGTTTCAAGATAAATTAACAAGTTTACAGCAAGTAAATAGCCCCAATAGATGAGAAAAGTTTCACGTATGTTGTACAGACATGTATTTGATAGGATTTCTACTGAATTTCGCGGTATTTCGATAAAAAGTATCTTGTTATCTGCTTCCCTTTGACTTCCCCTTTCATGTATTTCTGATAAAGTTGATAGAAATTCAGGGTCTATCTGTCACATAACAGTTGTTAGTTTGAAATGATGATCAGCAATGACTAAGTCAAACAATGGCAAACAAGTGAAGTGGCCTTGAATTCCTGTCAGCTCTACCAGAAATAAGAGAAGCAAAATGTTTGTTGAGTTAGACCATTTTAGTTAAATCCTCATTGGGCAACGTGACATGGTTACCCAGACGATTTCATGATCATTGTGTCATAGTTGCTTTGTACCAGCATCTCGACCAGCATTTTACGGTTTAATCAGGGAAACAAAAAGCTGGTTAGCTTTGCTGATGGGGACATGACTGCGTGGCTAGGGAGTCAAAATGAAAGTTAACCCTTTGCTGTTGGATTTTGCAGCATAATATTGGGCATTTGGAAATTTTAACAAATTTTTTAAATTTAGCATGAAACAGGTTTGTAAATTGAAAAAGAAGGAACTGCCATGTGTAATGTTAACCCTTTGACGACTGGTTTGGTTGTTTTTGTTCCATATGGAACGATCAACAGTGGTGGATCCAGACCTTCATGTAAGGGGGGAGCGTGGTGGTCTCAAAACAAAATTTTCGGGCCCCAGCTTGGTCTAAACATAAAGGGGGGACCTGGGCCCCCTGGGCCCCTCCCCTGGATCCACCACTGACAAATATTAATTTTCCTTCCTGGACCAATTTAGCTTTCAGTTTACGCTAATAAGTTGGTAAACAACAATGTTAGCTAAGATAGATCTTTCCACCGATACCTCATTTTGACAAGTCGTAACAGAGTTACACTGAAAAAAAAAAGTAACATTTGAGGGAAAAATCCACCGCCAATTTCACTGTTTAACTACTCTTTTACTACTCTTTGAAGATTAAAACTGTTCTTTTCCTAAAATGTTAGCCAGTCAAAATTCCATGCAAAGAAAGACGATAAGGTGGGCAACAAGACTGCTTACAAAGAAAAAAGGCAAAGGAAAATTAAGAGACAGAGAGAGAGAAAGATCCAAATAGATTTGCAAAAAAAAAACAAGTCCAAATTAATTGGCTTGTGTACACACGCAAAAAACTAAAGAGCTGCAAGATTACATCTGAAATACCATTACACCATTCCTATGCTAATTAGCTGAAAACCAATCCAAAGAAGAGGAATTGATAAAAAATGCAGGTTTTGTTGCTACCCAGTGGCCGTCACTAAGGGTTAATGGCTCAGTCAATTCGCAAGAATTGAGTATTGAGTTGAGAATCAAGACTAGATTCTTGATTGTTGTGCCTTGACCCTTGATACTCGGTTCCTGCGAGACTCATCAAACCAGAACAGCCTTTGTTTAGTTTTGAGTAACTCACTCTCTACTCTTGCTACAAGGAGGTTGGGGTGCACGTTCAAATCCTGGCAGGGAAAAGTGCATTTTTTAATTAAATTTTCAGTTTTTGTCCTTTCATCGTATTTTTAACCTCTGGCTTGTTTCTGTTTATTCTCACTGCTGACCCTTTTTAGCTTGGCAATACTTTTGCGATAACATCTTTTTAGTTATACACATGAAGTATGTACATGTGCAGTGCGAGAAGAGCAACTTCAAAAAACCCAGCCACTTGCATTCGGCGTTTGTTCTCTCAGTTACAGTGGTCCAAAACTTTGGAATTCTTTGACAATTGATGTTAAGAAAATCAAGCAGTTTTCCAGTTTTTGTCGATATATCAAGAACTCTGTGATTGATGGTTATAACACTATTATTGATTTTTAATGTTTTATGATTATATTATCTTTAACTACTATTTAATTAATGAAGTAATACTTTTTATCTAAAACAACTATTTTGTATCTACATCCCTTCTACTCATATTCTTGTTTGGGTCACCTACTCGGTTAGTTCCACGAACTATTTAGGTGTCCCAAACTCTTCACAATGAACCTACAATTGAAAATTTCTTTTCCTTCACAATCTCTCGATTTTACATTTTAAAGCACTAATTTGTATTAATTTTTAGTCTGTGTGAATATAAATAAAAATTGACTTGACTTGACTTGACTTGCATTGTCGAAACTGGCATTAAAAATCGCACGATAACACCACTCGATGCAAATGAGGTGAAACAATACAGCTGAAATAAGTGGCCGGGTAAATATTTCTGAAGTTTAGCTGTGAAGCCTTAATTTACGCTGTAGTTTACCTTTTCTCCAACGCGCGTGATGAGAGATTCCAGACGGTCCTCAATATCCACTGCGTCTGAGGTTCTCCTCCGCTTTCGAGCCCTTCCCTCAGCTAGATTAGACAATTAGGTCGAATTAGGAGACTTGAAGGTCGCGTGCATGTGCGCGAATTGCAATAGGCAGATCAAGACATGTCTTACCACCTTACCATTTCTTGTTCTATAGTGCAATTAAATAGATTATGTAGCAATAACTTACCGTTATCATCACTGTAATATCTTCTTTTTTCTCTAGACATTTTGGAATCTTTCGGACTGCTCTGAGCGAAGCACGAATAAAAAGCGGCTTGGTTACCGCTTCAACAAGTTACCACGTCATGAACGATCACTCAATTTTGTCCTAGACAAGGAGCCAAAGTAGTCTTACATGAAGTGCCAACGAAAGCTATCCAGACCATTGAGGTGAATTATGGCAACACTTGGTATGGGTAAATGTATGAACATTCAGAATTGTATAATCACTCAAAACAAAGTTTTTTTGGTGTTACTCTTCGTTATACTCTCTAATATTTATCCCATAGGAAGAATAAGAAGTCGTTTTCAAGCTATTTCAAGACACTTGTGCTTAGGTGGTCAGAACCTCTACGAGACTTGTCTTCTTGAAGTTCTTCTTGTCAACAGAACTTTACGGAGCAGAAGGTAAAGTACGCTAAATTTTAGAATGCCCGGCGTCTTATTCACAATCATTTATTACTTTATTTCCAATTTTGGGAGATGTATCTGAATAACAAGGTGTGTACGCATTATAGACCTTGTCACGGTTTTCGACGCCATCTTGTGCGACAAATTAACAGTGTCTGTATGAGTATCTAATGCAGAGATGCCAACCTCTAGAGATTTAAAATCTGGGACATTATATCAAGTATTACATGAAGTAGATACTATCCAAATTCGCGATCATCGTTTTGATGCCAGAAATAATCTTTGTCAGTGACTAAATAGGTGTAAAATGCCTCAGAAACCGTACTACAGTTACGAATAAGAAAAATTCAAGTTTTGAGCTAAAAATGGGCTAAATTTCAAACTAAGGCACAGAAAAGCTCAAAAGATGATTTTATCCGGGAGATAAAGCGACTCGTACGGGAGACCGGTAGATTGGTGTCGTATCCGGGAGACTCCTGGATAATCCGGGAGGGTTGGCATGTATGCTAATGTCGAATGACTTCCGTGAGACGGCTGTTCTGAAAAAAAAAAAAAAAAGACTTGTAAACTAAAGCTACAAATTTTGAGGCGTACTGGTGCTTAAATTTCTCCAGAGGCTTGCTTTAGATTTTCTATATTTTGTGGGTAATTTTTCCCGGGACTTCCTTACAGACAAATGTATAGAAATTTTATTAAGTGGTTTGAGGTCTTCTAACGCATGTAACGCCCTAAATTTTTTTTCAGGAGAATCCTTAGGAGTGAAGCTGTAGTTTATAATTCATATTTTTTCAGAACAGCTGTTCTATGGAAATTATTTGACATAAAATTCTCATACAACGTTGTAATTTCTCACGCATTGCCTACTCAAGATGGCGTGGAAAACCTTGACAATGTCTATTAAATCTTAAACATTACTAAGCCATTATGCTGACTGTGATGATGATGGGGCTTGGATAGGAAGAACTTTTCTTATGTTCACTTTTTTTTTTTAATTTCCCAATGAGGTCTTAGTTTTTGTTTTTCCCCTATATATATAGGAATTTCCAGAAACTAAGATTCCCCTCTTATTTGACGTGATCATAGTTCAGTTTAAACCAGCTAACCAGGTTATGGATAGCCATAAACTAGACATATGGACATTTCACAATGCCTCCACTTGTTTCCCCATGAAATGACGTCTGAGCAATGAGCATAGAAATTCCATACTGATGACGCATCACCACCCAGATCTGGGCAGTGCTTCTGATTGGATGAAGCAAATTTTCAGCTAATCAGAAGCACTCCAGGGATATCCAGGGATATTCCAGGGTGTTCCAAGGGTGTTCCAACCTGTTCCAAACTTTACAGACACCCCATCAGGAAAAGTGATTTGCCTAACGCAGATGCATCAAATCTACACATAGCTCGTGCAAGGCAATTTCACATAGGATTTAACAGGTGTGTATAAACCAGGAACAGGCCTGGAATATCCTAGAACACTCCTGGAACACACCAGAACATTCCGTTACACCCCATGACACCTCTGGAACCACTTCAGAACACCCACAATGCCCTCTGGAGTGAGGTTCAACTTTTACATTTACACATGACCTTCCATGTTGCCTCTATTGTTTTTACGTGCGTAAAATTTTTGTGCATACGCACGTGTACCTGAATCCGTTTAACGAGTAAGACAAAACCGTTTAAATAGTTAACTTACACATTTAAAAATTGCATCCATTTAACGTTTTGGAGAAAAATGTTGAAACGGTTAGGGAACGCGTCCAAATATCGGCATTGGGTCACACCGATGCCGATCAATTGGGCACCGATTTTTTCCGATTCCATTGAAGGTTGGACCCGATATTATCATTACCAAATGAAATGGAATTGGCAACGGGTCTCAATTCTTTATCGGGCCAATTAACAAAGGTCATCAAAAGTATCTGGCACCTCAAATAACCCGTCAGAGAAGCAAAAGCGTGAATGTTGTTTTTCGATGCACAAACACGTTAAATTTCTAATTTAAATGTTGTAAACCAGCAAATAAAGTGTTTCTTTCTTATTATTGACCTTATCTTTCTTATAAATGTGTCTTGTTTGAACCGAAATTTAACATCACAGTTTCGAACATTTGTTTGTATTTCCTATGACAGAGTATGACCAGAAAATATTAAATTTGTGTTTCAAAATGGGCACAAGAAGAAACAGCAGGTCATTGAACAACGCTGAAGAGCATCTTTTGAGTGAAAGATGCTGCAATGTACATTGCAAGTGTATGATCTCAAAATGATAATTTTAAAATAGCTTGGGCCCATGCTAACAGGAACCCAAAACGCATGATTATAGGAATCTTTGGAGGAATAAACAGTTTAGGACTTTAAGCCAAAAAAATAGAAAGAAGTCAGAACATCCACGACCAAAATGCAAATGTTGTTTTTTTTTATTTTTTTTTTATTTTTTTTATTTTTTATTTTATTTTTAATAACATTTATTCAATCAACAATCAACAATCAAAAATACTTACAAACACTACGATACTTACACTAATTACAATACAATATTTAGAATACAATAGACTAAGGTACTTACTCTGTTTACAATGTAAAGACTTACAATACTCAGTACTTACAACACTACCTACTCACTACTCACACTACAATGCACTATTTACAAGCAGTTCTAATTAGTAATTGTACTTCAAAAAAAAAATCATTCACGGTAAACGCACTTATATCTTAAGTGTCTTAAAGAGGCAGCGATTGTGAAGCAAAAGATACACCAGGTTAATGCTGGAGAAAATGAGCAGAGGATCGAGATATACAAATGTTCACAAAATCAAAGGCTTACTGAAATAAGGAGCTCACATTTTCCCATTTTTTTGGTAAAATGGGACCTGCAGTGGTCTCTATGTGGTAGAATGATTTGAGGTATTGCAGGAAGCCTGCTATCTTTGGCGAGGTTTCCCTTCTTTTGCTAATCCAGATGTAATTTCTGGCTAGAAGGAAAAGGAAATTAATTTGCTGGCAGTTTTTTGAAGAATCCGGCTTTAGACCAAGTACAACAAATATATCTAATGTGTAATGTTCCGGTGTAATGTGGAGCAAAGTCAGCTTAAGAGATAAACTATGCCAGAAAAAGGCCACTTTAGGACAAGACCAAAAAAGATGAAGAAGTTTCTCCTATTCATTATTACAAAAAGAACAATTTGGGTTGTCTTTTACGCCAATTTTTGTTAAGAAGTCGTTCGTTGATATTCGTCTATGTAAAAATTCATATTGGAATTCAATAATTCTTGTACTTTTAGTATATTTAGCGGCCAACTGGTATGCTTCCCGCCAATTAATCGCCTCCACATCATTTTCGTTGCAGTCTTTTAGCCATTTCTGTTGATTATGGGATGGTAACTTGCATTTTGTAGAAAGCAACTTGGTGTATACAAGTTTGCTCGCACTTTGGCATTCTGTTAATCTTACTACAAAGGTTTCATAATTGTTGCAGTTTTTGATACAGTTTGTTTTACATGTAGTCCAAAGAGATTTTAGAGCAGACACTAGTCCGAAATACTTTAAAAGACAAACTTTGAGGCTGTATTTTTGCTGCAGCTCAGCTAGTGATAAAAATTTGTTATGTTCATCTTTCAAATGTTTCACTTTCGTAACGCCTCGATCAGACCATTCACGATAGAAGACGGGACAGTTATCGATTCTAATGAGTGAGTTGTGCCATAAAGTTTGTTCAAGAAATTGTTTCTCGGACGTTATGTTTTCATCAAAATTGACTTCCGCCCAGATTGAAAGTATCTCTTTTATAAAGTTATTCTTAATCTTGAGATTCTCAATGGTATCTTTCTTGTTTAAGTTACTAGTGAGGACTATTGTGCCTTCAAATCGCTCTAACTCTATATCAAAAAAATATTTCCATTTCCCCTGGTTCTCTTCATCCAGATATTTTTTAATCCATGTAGCTTTCAGGGACTTGTTAAAAGACTGTATGTCTATCATTTTAAGTCCTCCATTAGCATAATCGTTTGTTATAATGTCTCGTTTGATTTTATCTCCTTTTCCATTCCTTGTTTACTTCTTTGATAATTTTCACATTTGTACGTAAAGGTGAGAGCACATAAACGAGCTGAGAGGCAACCAGACTTTTAAGGACCGTTATCTTTCCAACTAGGGTAAGTCTACGGTATTTCCAGCAGCTCAAAACATTCCGGACCTTATCTAGTTTTTCATTATAATTTAAAGTTGCAGTTGCTTCCAGATCATTTGAAAACCAGACACCTAAAGCTTTAACTTTACACTTCGGCCATTTAAAGTTTCTTCCGAGAATTGATATTTCATCTTTGTTACAATTTGCCCCAATCCAAAAGGCTTCTGTTTTTTTGTCATTAAGTTTTAAGCCAGAGACTTCATAAAAATCGTCCAGTGTTTTGAGAGAGGCTATTAACGATTCCTTTGTTCCATGTAGTATAAGAGTTGTATCGTCTGCATACTGACTTAGTTTTATTTCTTTACCGTTTACAAAGATCCCTTTAATACTTTTATTTTCACGAATTGCCTTAGCTAAAACTTCTACTGCCAGAACAAACAGATAAGGTGAAAGGGGACAGCCTTGCCTTACACCTTTTTGGATTTCAAAAAAATCGCTCGCCCAACCATTATTCAAAACGCAGCTTTCTGGGCAGCAGTAGAAAAGGTTTAGCCATTTTAAGATGCTACTACCAAAACCAAAATGTTGAAAGGTTTTCCTAATGAAAGGCCATTCTATCGTGTCAAAAGCTTTTTCAAAATCTAAAAACAAAAGTAATCCTGGTATATTGTTTTCTTTAGCGTAGTAAATAACGCTAGCAATAAGGCGGATGTTTTCTCCGATAAAACGACCTCTTATAAAGCCAGTCTGGTCGTAATTAGTGAGATCAGGGAGGAGAGGTTTCAAGCGATTAGCAATTGATTTTGCCGCTATTTTGTAGTCGCTGTTCAGGAGGGTTAGGGGTCTCCAATTCTTAATAAAGAACGGCTCTGCGTCTTTCTTAGGGATAAGTTTGATAATTCCTCTTCTCTGGGTTATTGAGAGTTTTCCAGTTTCATAAGCGTAGTTCAGTGCGCTAATTAGGGTGCTGGATACATCTTTCCAAAACACTTTGTAAAATTCGGCTGGTAGGCCGTCGGTCCCAGGGGTCTTTTCTGATTCCATATCTCTTAAAGCCTCAAGGCACTCTTTTTCAGTTAAAACTACAGTGTACTTTTGGATGACGTTGTCTCCAGGTAAATCTACTAGTGTCTGGGTGTAGAATCCTCCAGACGTCTACCAGATCTAGTTTCTCAGAGAATTCTTGAACAACTTTAACACTATTTTGGTGAGTTTTAGTAAGGCCACCCATCTTGTCCTTCTCTAAATCCAGTACAAGGTTGTATTCGCCTCCTATAATAATATAATCACATTTGAAATCTGCGAGGTGATCAAAGAAGTCAAGGAAGAAAGTTGGGTTGTCTTCATCAGGAGCATATATGTTCCCTAAAGTAAAACACTTTTCATTGGTTTTAATGTCGCAAATAATGGAGCGTCCTTGGGGGTCAGTGTAAGTTTTTTCTATTTGAAAATCGAAGTTGTTGTTGAAAAGAATGCATACCCCTGCTTTATTGCTCTTATAAGTACTAAAAATAGCTTGATAGCCCCATTCAGCAGACCATACGTGATTAGTATTTTCAGTGCAGTGGACTTCTTGTAGCATATATGCCGAGTAATTTTTTTTGCTTAGCCAATTAAACACCTCTCTACGCTTTGTATTGTCTCTTAATCCCCTGACGTTTAGTGATGCTATTGTCAAAGCCATAGATATTCTCTTGGGCAGCTTTGCAGAGGAAGCCTTACATCACCTGGTGTCAAAGCTCCACAATCGCTGCACGGTATGATAGGAAT